GGTTAACGTTTAAACGTTTTCAGCACTGCTGCTGTATAAATATTATTACATAATAATAGTATACTATTATTATTATACTGAACACAGGTAACCATGAGCATGGCTGCTCTAACCTTTCTCCTCATGCTTCAAGTTTCTGTCTCCTCCACCCTGTTTGCCTGTTCACCTCCTCTGCGCTACACTGAGCGTCTTTGAGCAAATACTAATCTGTTAAAGGTGTTAATGGATCGGCTCAGACTGACACGAGTCTCTGAACATCAAACTTTATAAGACAGGAAAATAAAGATGTTACCTTGGTCGTCGTTGGCTACACGTCTGCCTCCTGTAAACAGACGTAACACAGACTGTCAGTGATCATGGATGAACTCAGCGGTTTGTTCTACATGTGCGAAGCAGCTCAGTGTGCTGAGCCTCGGACCAACTCTGATGTCATCACACCTCAGTCAGCGACATGTTCAAGTCATTAACATGAATGAATGAATAACATGCTGAAGTGTAATCCTACAGTTTCCTGTTATCCAGACTAAATGTTGTTGAAATGTTTCAAAGTTCTACATGCAGATGTGTCTGAGTGGAGACGGTGGAGGAAACGAGCTGCACACTATCAGCAAACAGCAATCATTTCTGTTCTGGAAAGAAAAACTACATTCATGTCCCAGAGAAGTCAAAGTTATTGGATTAGAAGCTGCAGACAGGAAAAGTCTGACATCATGTCACATGACTGACATGTGACCTTTGACCCCCTCATGGAGTCCTAATAAAATAATAACTGAAGTGTTTGAAGACTGAAAGACTGGAGCAGCTGCTGTGATGTAAATTATACACAACAGCTCACTGTACTTACTAAGACAGCCTTTTTTATGCAAGCATATCAGACCCAGACCTCCACCAAAAACAAGAGCAATCACAGCCAAGGCAACACCCTCTGCACCGATCCGAGCTCCAGATCCAGGTTCCTCTGGATGGTCACCGTTCTCTGAAACACAGACGTGAGTTTTAGGCTGAGGTCACTGTCAGCGTGTTATTTGCTGCTGTTTGTTACTGAGATGTAGATTTGAAGCCACAGTCACGATGAAGTCAGTGATTGGACAGCAGTGATGTGCAGGAGGTCACTGAGAGGGGACGGCACTGAAACAGAAACTGTTCATATCTGGAACTTTTCAGTGATTCTCTGAAGGAGATCGCTCGTCTGCTTCTTCGGGGCTGCAGAGCTGGGCTAAATGTGACATGCTAGCTTTGTTCTCAGATGGACTGACATGGCTCTGACCACAGGACTGTGATCAGGACAGTCACGATGCAGATCTGCTGGACACAGAGAAGCTCGCTGCTCTGACTGAAGAAACAAAGTTATGATCAACAACAGAGACAATAAAAAAAGTTTCTTACTCCAAGTCTTCACAACATCCACACGGGTCGCCTCATGAACGACTTCACAGCTGAACTTCGACAGGTCAGACTTCAAAATCTCCACATGGTCTCGTCTCTGGAAGGTCTCATCGTTATTCGGAAGAACTCCTGAGCTACTCAGGCCGTCGTCTTCAGTCAGAACACGCCCATTTCTTCTGATCCTCACAATGATGTTTTTGCTGTAGAAGCCTGTGGCGAGGCAGGTCAGGGTGAGGTTCGTCTCCACTCTGGACTTCTTTGCAAACACGTACACGTCAGGTGGAGCTGGAAGGAGGAAATGAAAACTGTGTCACTAAATATTAAAACAGAATTATGTGAATATGGTTTACCTCTGAAAGATCAAAGCAGTGTATGAAATTGAATGTCTTATATGAGCTGTGTTTTCTACGGCCTTGACTGTTAAGTGAGGTATGAAAAATTGAGGGGAATAGAGTTGCAGCGTTTGGGGTTTTTGTTTCTGGGACCAATTGCAAGTAATTGCAGTGACCCAGAGGTCGAGCATGCAGCACCTTCAACCTCCAGGTGACCAATTTTACATTAACAATTGCACAGGTCACATGATGGGAGGCAACCTGTGTCAGTCTGACACGGACCAACTGAAATCAATCTGATCTTTTGGTAAAGGTCTGCAATCAATCACCATGTAATCCATTAACAGCAGACAGACCATGAACACAGTCAGTCTGTGCTGCGTCTGCTCTATCATTGATTTCTGCAGTGAGGTCTGAGACTGGTGACTTTACAGCAAAGTGCATGAAAGAGCTGGATTCTCCGTCCTCTAATGAATGTGGTGATAATGTAACTGTCACCGTTTAAACATGGCTGCTCTAAGAAGTCCTCTGGGCCTGAGGAGCTGACATCAGCTTGGAGCTCCATCTTTCAGCAGTTGATAGATACCCACATCATTCCTGATCTTTGGAAAACCTCTGATATCATTCCTGTTC